CTCTCTCTCTCTCTCTCTCTCTCTCTCTCTCTCTCTCTCTCTCTCTCCCTCCTGCCTTCAGGTCCAGATATAGAATTCTCAGCGACCTCTTCATCACCATGTCTGTCTATACTCAACATGCTTGCCTTCACGATGATAATGGATTAAACCTCTTAATCCATTTTAAGCCAGTTTCCCATGAAATGTTTTCCTTTATAATAGTTGCTGTGGTCATAATGTCTCTTCTGTCATAGCAATAGAAATCCTAACTAAGACAGTTGGCGTTGCCTCTCTTCACACCTCTTTCATGCCAGAAAAGTAAAAGAGAAAGCTACTAAAAAGCTACCACCCATTCATTTGTGCTACTCACAGCAAGGTTGGTCCGCTGTATACTCCTCCAAAGGCGTCTTTGTCAATAGCTGTCAGGAACTTATTCTTGTTTAGATAACTAGGGAGGAGAGAGAGAGAGAAAGAAGAGGGAGAGAGAGAGAGAGAGAGAGAGAGAGAGAGAGAGAGAGAGAGAATATGAATTAGGCAAACTTAGCCATCACATAACAGAGTAAATACCAAAATAAACTGTAACAAAGGTCACATCAATTTCAAAGACACTTTCTGTTCTCCTGGCTTAAGCACCAATCTATGTGTCAGGAATGCAAGGTTTTATTGTGGCAGGAATCTTTGAAAATTAATTAAGTTTAGGGCCTAGTTTGCATTCTATCAAAGTTGCCCAAATTTCCTATATCCTGGCAATCCTTTGCTTTTCAAAGTTGACCATTGCTCCCATGTATCTTTGAAGCTAGAACTTCACTAAGAGGCGGGATGGAGATGGTAGGGTGGTGGGAGGTGGCAGGGATGGCGCGAGACTCAGTTCTCTCTCTTTTTTTTTTTTTCAGCAGAGTTGCCAGATTTAGCAAATTAAAACACATGATGTCAGTTTAATTCGAATTACTGATAAGCAGTGAATAATTTTCAAGAGTAAATATTTCCCATGCATATTTATCTGTTGCTTATCTGAAATTCACATTTAATTGAATGGCATGTATTTTATCCAACACCACCAGTTTTGGTGTAGGGATATTTGTATAAATAAGGTTACAGCACATACCTTTTGTGAAAAGTGTGTTGATCGTTCCCTTTTTATAATGCATTAGCTGTTTGAAAGGATAACATTTCCTAGGCAATTTAAGCTGCAGAGTGCTTTTGAAATAAAATTTCCTCCAAGTGAACAAAAGCATCCAAGGACTTAGAAATTGGTCGTTTCCTCCCTGCATAGCTTTTTTAGAGAGTAAAATTGTCTAAAATGAAATAAAGTATATTTGTCTTTGACATAAATGACCCCAATTTACGCATTTACAATAACTTGCAGCATAGCGTAGGAAATTCACACTAGTGAGTGACCGTGACTTGAAGTAAGATAAATACAGTGGGGACTGTTGGGAGGTCTGCTTAATTATATAGATACTGCTTCTTGGATTGTATCAGCGAGTTTCTCGCTCCAGGGTGGCAAATACTGAAGGCTGCCGGCTAATAATAGTAGAGCAATAGAAGACTTTTGGTCAGAATTCCGTGTCCAGAGCGTTCATAAAGAGAGGGCCCTTTAGCTGATTGGGTCCAGCTATGTCTTTACTGGAGCGTGTGGATAAAAATAGAGCAAGCAACCCCCAGTGCGGAAGAGTTTTCTCACCCTCCTCTCTGAGCACGCTAAGGGTTTAAACAAACAGGCAGTGAGTGGAGGCCTTATACATTGAATACAGTTTAGAGTCTTTTGATTATTTTTTAAAACAATAGACAAAATCAGGGACTATTGGTCTAAAGCCTTTGCCCTGTGCTCTCTGTTTCCTCCTGACATCATCAGAATCTGTGATCACCTAGTTTCAACCAGAACGGAAGGTCTGTGCCGTATTTACTGCTGAGTACCCACTGCTAAGTTCAGGGCTTCATGAATGCTCACTGGGTGGGAACTGTGGAAGAGCAAACAAACAAACCAACAAACAAATATATCTTTTCTTCAAGATAGTGACATTGGTACTTTCAAACTTTGAGGGTGACGCATATGAATGTCTAAAAAAAAAAAAAATAAAAGAAGACAGCATGTGATATGGTGGCCTTGGGGAAACTGACCTTCCTAACGGCAGTGAATGCTGAGGCAGCTCGTTTACAAATGGCCCACAAGAGGCCTCTTTAAAGGGTGGCTGAACACACAACTCCTGGAGGCAGCTCTCGGTTATAACAAAATGGATACAAACAGTCAGCGTAAGAAGAGAAATGGATTACTTTTGTTGAAAGTCATGGAGATGAGTTGACTCCAGTATTTGTGGTCTGTGGTACCATGGCTCACCACGACAGGAGCGTGAGGCAGAGGAAGCTACTTTTCTTACAGGTTCTGAGAAGCCAATAACAGAGGAAAAGAAGGACCTGGTACCATGTCCCCTTCAAAGGAATGTTCCCAATAACCCAATTTCCCCCCACCAATCTTAAAAGTTCTACCGTTTCCTTCTAACACCAAGCTGAGAACACCAGGACTCTAACACACGGGCCTTGCGGGGCATTCCAGATAACGCCTGTAGCAGGGGGTGTTTTGAAGTCTCACATAGAAAAGACCAGTCTACCGTATGTTCAGACACCTGAGTAAGACGCCAAAGCGCTGGTACACGTTCCAAGTGGGTTAATGCTATATAAGGCTTGGGTCAAAGCACTCTCGTGTTCTCAGACTGATTCTGTCATAAACCCGTTATGTTTATGAAGATCTTTTGTTTAGTCATAGCTGCAGTGGATAAGACCCACCTTGAGGAAAAAAAAATAACTAAAGAGAGGCTCTTGACGAGCACGTCATACAACTATGACGGGCTTAGGGGCCGGACCGGCTTGCAACTCTTTCTATATTCTTGGGCCAGTCTAACTATAGGCCACACGTTGTTCCCAGGCTGCGCCAAATCAAGTGAGCTCTGCCGAGCTCCTCTCTCTCCTCCTCCTCACCCGCAATGATTGAGAGCAAAAATCAGCTTGCTCTAATCATCAGAGATTATTGTAAAACAAAATTATCACTTGTCCAAATTTTGTAGCGTTTTCGTCTGATACTTAATACACCCCGAGGACCAGGAGACTGGTCGATAGGCAGAGCTCTTTACCAGAAATGCTGTGGGAGGCTTCAAACTGGGGAAGGCAGCCAGAGTCCAGGATGGAAGAAAGAATGCAGCAAGAGGTGCAGCCAAAGTGAACGGAGATGAGCCAGCCTGACAGAGGCCCCGTTCTCAAACAGAGAGCACGCATGGCTGTTTGGCTGCTTGCCCTCTGAAGATGATAAAGTCATAACAATGAATGCGCCTCTCTTCCCTGCTCAGTGTCTTGGTTCCTTGAGACAGGGTCTCAGTACGAAGCCCAGGCTGACTTTGGACTCGTGAGCCTCTTATTCCCACATCTTGAGAGTCTCTGGTAGTTTTCGGGGCTGCCTCTCTTAGCTTTGAATCTTGGGTTCTGATTTCTCCTTCCAGTTCCCACCAGAAGCTAACAGTGAGGAATTACAGACCCAGAAGCATTAGCACAGAGGAAGGAAGAACTTTCACTAACCTCTTTGGCCACATGCTGCTGTCTGGGAATGTCATTCTCCGCAACCTGGTTCCTTGATCACAATTTATCCCGAGTCTGTGCCGTGTACATTGACTTGGCTACATCAGCCACAAATCTTGGTAAGCCAGATGGGAACCTATTCTAGACAATGACTCTTTTTGTCATTGGTAATTTGTCATTGTGGTAATAGAAGATGAAGGTGAAGAAGGTCCAAAAGTTTGGGAGGACTTGTCAGAAGTGACTTGTCAGAAGTGACGAAAGAAGAGATTTCCTAAAAGTCAGATTGCTAATGTGAGTACTGGGACAGGCTTCCAGAAAAGCCTCAGTAGTTCCTTCCAAAGTGAAACAGATACTGCCATCCCTGCCTGGGTAACGATGCTTCATTATTTGCAAGGATTCTGCCTCTTTGACGCTGGTGAAGAAATTAAGCTTGTCCTCGAAAACAATTGTCAAATTTTCCATATTTCAGGACTTGAGAATCTCTACTCTGAACAGTAGGGTCAGGAAAATGAAGACGGCGATGAGCTGGGGAAAAACATTTAATTGACAGCCTCAGCACTGTGAGGTGTGTGTGTGTGCTCACTTTCTTGAACTCACTTTTGTTTTTGTTCTTGTTTTTCAAGACAATGCTTCTCCGTGTATCTCTGACCGTCCTGGAACTCACTCTGTTGACCAGGTTGGCCTTGAACTCAGAGATCCGCCTGCCTCTGCCTCCCCAGTGCTGGGATTAAAGGTGTGTGCCACCACCACCCAGCATGGACTCACTTTTTTAAAAGTTTCTTTTGTGAGACTTATTTTTACTTTATGTGTTTGAATGTTTCTCCTGCACGCGTGTCTGTGTACCATGCACATGTAGATGCCCGCAGAGGTCCAAAGAGGGCTTCGGATTCCCTGGAACTGGCATTGCAGACAGTTGTGAGCTTCTACGCAGATGCTGGGAATTGAACCAGAGTCCTCGGCAAGAGCAGTCGGTGCTCTTAAGCACTGAGCCATCTTTCCAGCTCCTGGATTCATTCTTGACACCAGCAGCCATTCAGTGAAGACTTGTTTGACAAGAAATGAAAGCCCTGTTTCTAGGTCCTGCCCAGCGACAGAGGTAGTCACTGTCGCAGTGATGCACGGACTAAATTTGCTGTTGCTCCTGGGTTTTGTTCTCTGAGGAGTTTAAGGATCCATTTCAATTCTAAGATCAAATTTCAGCTCATTCCTGCATAATTCCCTTTAGGGGAAAGTGGGATTGACACCTGGCTATGTTGTGACAGTCACATGGGAGTACTTTACGTGGGGAATCATTGTTTTTGCTTTGTTTTGTTTTTCCACAGAGCTCTGGTTATTCAAAAAATGACAGGGATCCACCACCTAGCTCTTACATTAGTCTCAATGGAAGCTGGGTTGCCCCGTGGAAATCTTGATGGTTGCAGAGATGGAGACACTTGTTTATCGACAGTGACAGGTGAGAAAGTGTTCAAGACGGCAGGAGGCAGACGCGACAGCCAACCTTGGAGCATATCCTACAAGCTGTTCAAATACTTACCCCGTGAGAAATAGCAGCCTACTTAATCCTATAATCTTCTCTACCGTCATCTTTCCCCAGTGGCTCCAGGCTGTGCTGAATTACTTCTAATCAGCTCATGTGCGATGCTAATTAGCATACTGTTTGTGCTGACTTCTCTGCTCGTAATGATGACTGTCTTGGTAAGCCCTTATCACATCAAAGTTGTATTTATTTCTGAATGTTTACTGCTAGGTAGATACCCAGTAACTAGAATCCAACAATGGAGAATTCATCTCAGAGAATCAGACACTGAGTGAGACGCCACTCGGTTCTAGAAGACTGGATAAAGAGAGCAGAGAGGTCCAGAGGAAGAACACGGGACTGAACTTATGACTGAGAGCAGTTCAACTTCTCTTGAGCAAGGACACTCATATTCCGTGATCTGCCACCTGAGTGATGACAATGTGCTTGGCTCACAGCGAAACCACAGAGTGACAGCTTTGACCCACTTGCCATGATTTTCGGAACCTTCTAACAAACAACAGAACTGCCGCTTGGCTTCAGAGCTTGTCCTCAATGTGGGATGGGTCCAATCTGGCTGCAATAACACTACTCAGCCACACTAAAACAATGAGTGGAATTGAGGTCAGACCCGATAACTTCAGTCCATCAGCATGAAGGAAATGATTGCTGTTTTGGATAACAAATTATTTCAACCAGAACCTAGAGATATGTAAACACAGTTCTAGAGAGATCATGCTATTTCAATCTTTGAACCCTGCTAGGATAATTAATACAGAAGAATTATTAATATGTTTTCCTCAGTTTGAGAACACAGTAGAGATGGAACTGTGTTAAAAGTATAGAGTGATGGTCCAGAGAGACGGCCCAGGCTAAGAGCACTTCCCATACAAGCTTGACTATCCGAGTTTGAGGGCAGGACCTGATTCTCAAACATTAGCATCAGACTGCCAGATGCACACAGTACCACAAAGGCACACACACACGCACTAATTAGCTAATTAAAAACCACAAAATGAATATAATAACCATGGAAATTTGACTTAGTTTCCTTTCACCTAAGGAGTAGTCCTTGTCCTTCACTTGAAGGGCTCCGGGTAATGATCATCAGTTTGAATACTCATTGGATTTGCATGATACCTTTTACCTGGAGGAAAAAAGTTTTCATTCATCAAAATGAGGCATTTCAGAGACGATGAAAAGCAGACGGGGCAGAGTTCCTGGTTGGATTCACAACACTGGCTGGGAAATACTAATTTGTATCCTATTAAGGCTGGATACTTTTAGCCCTGAAGTGTTCCCATCCCAATACTTCTTTTCTTTATTCCTTGCTTGTCTTTTAACCTTTATCAGGACCCGAGAGACACAATGATGCTCCTCACCAAACAGCTTCATCTACACAGAAGGTTGGCAAACTGTGATGTCTCGTGTGGATTCTGCTGTTGCCTACTACAACGGCAAATGACACGTTTGTGTGTATTCACGGGTGAGGCTGCGCATGTGCTATAACACAGGTGTGGAGGCCCTACGACCACTTCAGGTTTCGGTCCTCACCTGCTTTTTCTGAATCATGGTCTCTGGTTTACCGCTGTGCATGCCAGCTAGCTGGCCCACAGGCTTTCATGGGTTATCCTGTCTTCCCTTCCTACCTCGCAGGAGTGCTAGGATTCCCAGTGCATGGTACCATGCTGGGTTTTATGTGAGCTCTGGGGAATTGAACTCAGGTCCTTGTACTCACATGGCAAGTGCTTTACCTACCGAGTGATCTCTCCAGCCTGACCCTTTCTGTGTGTGTGTGTGTGTGTGTGTGTGTGTGTGTGTGTATGCCCACGCATGCGCGTGCGTGTGTGGATGTATGCACGTGCATATGTGTGATGGCTTTAGAATCAAAGAAGAAAATATTTGGTGGTATTTGCATAATATTAGATGCTGATCTTTTAAAAAAACATAGGATACATTTAGAGAAAATCATGCTGATTTCTCCAAGGAAGGAGGCCAACATCTTTGGCTATTCAGCACTTGGATATTTTCTGGCGGTTGCTAATTTTGTATAGGATAAGTTTCCTTCTGATGTACTTTGATCCTTGGTGTAGCTGGGCTTGTATCGATTCCACAAGAATGTAATTTCCGTTGTGAGCAGGTTGCACGTGGCTTTTGCTTGTCTTTGCTTTGCCAGTGGCTCTCACAGGGCTTTGCAGGCACTCGGTAGCTAGGCTGAGAAGTAAATGAAGGGCTGTGTCGATTAGTGCAGTCAAGTGTAGACAGAAGGAGGAGCGCTCCAGTTCTGTAGATGGCTTTTTATATACAAGAATTTATGTATCCTGTAGTGTCTTTTAGAACTTTCCCGATAACTATGTTAAACTATAACTGAAATCAGACCATAACAACCCCGTCCTACCAAACAACAAACAGAATGATATCTTCCTCTAATGGAGATTAGAAAGAAGACCTAAAACCCAAGAGCTAGACTCCACCTTGACAGGACGCAGAGAATCTTGCATAACTATAAAAAAAATACAGAACTTGGGGATACAGAGATGGCTCAGGGGTTAAGAGCACTGGCTGCTCTTCCAGAGGTCCCAAGTTCAATTCACAGCACCCACATGGTGGCTCACAACCATTTATAATCTGATCTGGTGCCCTCTTCTGACATGCAGGCAGGATACTGTATACAAATAAATAAATCTTTTAAAAAATTCAGAACTTGTTACCACTTATCTTTTAAAATGGAATTATTACAGAACCCAGTGCTTATCCTGCAAAGAACCCCAAGCACTTCCTCTCCATGTGTGCCCTTTCCCACCTAGGCCCTCTGCACATAGCTGGACAGCTAGTTTACCTAAAATGTAGTCCATGGGCTACAGAACCCAGCATTAGAAATACAGAACCCCCCAGCCCAGCCCAAATTTACCGAATCAGACTATGTATCTCACAAGGTCCTTAGTGGCGTGCACGCCTAATAGTATTTGAGAGGTAACTTAGTACACAACACGTTTAGACTCATAAGGCCTTCAGGTTTTGCCATGATCAACTATGTAGGAATGTTTTAAGGACGGGGAATTATAGAATCACAAAAAGTAGTAAGTAATACCTTACTGTAAGAAATGAGCACCTAAGTTTGAGGGGAAAATACTAGATAATTTGGAATTAAAAATATAGCCGGGTGGTGGTGGTGATGCACGTTTTTAATCCCAACACTTGGGAGTTAGAGGCAGATGGATCTCTGTGAGCTCATTGCCAGTCTGGTCTGAGGTAGTTCCAGGACAGTCAGGGCTATACAGAGAAACCCTGTCTCAAACGGAAAACAAAACAAGCAAATAAAAATATATAACTGCTAAAAAAAAAAGTGTTGCAACATCAGGAGATGCATTTATTTAATTGGAGAATTATTAATTTTTTGAGTGGCAAATGCAAGCAAATTTCTAAGTTCAAGCCAGTCTTGTCTACATAGCTAGTTCCATGACAGTCAGGGTTACATAGTGAGACCCTGCCTCAAAACAAAATAAAAAAAATAAACAAAGCAAAGCAAAATTAAAAACTAAAAGAAACAAACAAAAAGTATTGCAAGACAAATAAAATGTATGTCTTGTTTTTAAATTTTGTTGTTTTGGGTATCATATGTCTTTTAAAAAGAAAAAAATCATGTCAAAACAAAATAAGCAAATTTTTCCAAACATCTTTGGGTATAATAATACTCTTTACTTTGTGTAATAGCAGATTACACACACACACACACACACACACACACACACACACACACACACACACGAACATACCTATGTCCCTGTAAGACAACTGATGATGATAGTATATGTCTTCATTTTATTGAGAATGAGAGCTTTGGAATTTAGGACTGGGACCAACATTGTGTCCATTTCTGATGGCCCTTGTCAAGTTCCTTTAGTATCACTTTCAAGACTTGAGATACTTAAAATAGATCCCAACAGAATTCAGACTCTCTGGATGGTCCTTCAAGGGGTGAGGTGTGGGGAATGGTGACAGTTTCCATGGTTACCCTAAACTTACACAGCATCCAGCTTTGTCCCATTGAAAGCATGTCCTTGAACTGAAGTAAATCCATTGTTGTATAGTTTCCTAAAATCAAGAGAAAGAGGGAGAGAGAAAATCAGTGGCCATGTAGCTAATTGATAGAGTACTCGCCTAGCACATGTAAGGCTCAGGGTCACAGGATCCCCAGAAATAAATAAATAAGTAAATAAAATCGATGACCTGCGGGATATGTGTTGTTCCTTTTTAAAATAGTTGGTCTTCATCTCTTTTGTATCAGAAATGTGCATAAAATTTCACTCATCATCCATATGCATTCTTCAAGACAAAATCCCTCATAGTATGCCTTGTTTGGGACATAAGATGTTTCTAAGTTTGAAACCTAATTCTCCGGACTTAGGGACCTGTGAGTCAGCCTTTCTGCAGAAGCTATTTTTTAAGTATGTGCGTGTCACACGCACATGCGTGTGCACATTCATGTGGGTGCAGGTGTCCATGTAGGACAGAGAGGGTATTGAATCTTGTAGAACTGAGTTATAGGAAGCTGTAAGCTGTCTTATATGTGTGCTGGAATCAAACTCAGGCCCTCTGCAAGATCATTAAGCACTGTTAAGCACTGCTGAGCCATCTTTCCAGCCCATAGACTCTTTTAAAAAATGTGTACATATTAAAGGGAAGGGAGTTTCAGATGACATTTAAGTTTATGTCAACACTAGAAGAGTTACAACAGTTTTTAAAGAGGACCAGTTGAGAAGATATTCATCTGAATGCATAGACTGTCATTTTGTCCCCATCTCTGTCTCTCTCTTAAAACATCTACTTGTCTTTAGAGTTTAACCATAAACCAAATACTTCATGGTTATATCTGGAATTAATTTGAACCTCATAGATGAATTTTAAAAAGTAGATAGACCATGCCCCTTTGTGGCAATTTTTTTGAATGTTTTAATATCTATTAAATTTTACCTCGATTCCCAGAAGCCAGCCTCAAATGTTACCACCCCTGCTTCCTGGTGAAATCACAGAGATATGGGAGTGGCTTGCCAAGAACTTGTTAGTCTAAACTTGTTAGGGTTCAGGATCCTTGACCTCAAATCTTCTCGTCTACCAAAAACACACCTCTGCCGGAGAAGGGAACCCAGTCTTTGGAACTCCAAGCTGTGCAGCACTCATGGTTATTGGTTGTTATTGGCACAATGAAGCAACAGGCCCCAGGAACTCTTCAGGTAGGGGTGAATTTCAATAATAATTTTAATATACTACATATGGACTTGATAGAACAATAACTACAGAGGAGACTCCAAGATTACAACCAGGCCTGGCTCTGTCACTTAGTAGCTGGGTGATCCTGAGACTCTCACATCCTCCTCCATACTATTTTAGTTTCTAGAAATATGATGCTAATGCCTCATTGCAGGTTGCTAGGGAGACAGAGTCACTATATCTAATAACGATGAGTGCTTAAAAAATGACCATCTTAAAGGAGAACACTAAAATTTGAATCCATTCTAGATAGCTGTGAGAAATTGAGGAATAATCTCACGGTTTTGTTGTTGTTGTTTGTACATATTTTTTAAATGGCTGAGTTTATTTGTGGTTCCTAAAGGATTATAGGTGTGGGCTGCAATCCATTTCCCCGGGACTCAGGTCCAGAGAATAAAAAATGCTGATGGATGGGTCCTCTTTTCCTAAACTGCAACTCTTTTGCAAATATGTGAAAAAAAATGCACTCTTTTATGTTTTCCAAATTCGTCCTTGATGGACAGGGGAGATGGGTCAGCCAGTAAAATGTCGACCACACAAGCACAAAGTCTTGAATTTGGATCCCTAGAACACACTTAAAGCATCAAGTGTAGTAACATGTGCCTGGAACCCTTGTCCTGGGGCAGTGGGGGGGGGGTGGACACAGGTGGTGTATGCTTCAAGTTCACTGGGCAGACATTCTAGCTGAATCGATGAGCTTCAGGGTCAACCAGAGACCCTGGCCCCAAGAATATGAGTGGAGAGGGATTGAGGACAAACAATGCCCATCTGTAAGCCTCTTCAATCCATGCATATATCTGCATGCATATGTGCATATACCTACATGGACAAGTAAAACACCACATGCACATACACGCATGCATGCACACACACACACACACACACACATGCACATACACACTAAAAAGTGTTCTTGATTTGAGTTATGGTTAGCGACTAAATAAAACTTCATGGAGAAATAGGTCCCGAGAAATGCAAATGGCAGAAAAGGGAAGGAGTGGGGACACGGGCAGGGACTCCGCTGTTGGGCATTTTCCTTGCACATTTAAGGTTTTGAACTTGATTGGAAGGAAGGGCTTTTATTAGAATATTCTTTTCAAAAAATCACCCGGACAGATAATTGACTAATTCAGGCCAGGCCAACACTATATGGACAGAGCAACATTTCCCCCATCCTTCAGCATGTACTTTTGAATAACCAAAGGGCAGGTCATGACTTCTGAACAAAAGCACTATGTTTTCTATTGAACAAGCAGTTATCGGAGCTGTGGCATAGCTTGTGATCTCCGAGCGAAAGTGTAATCGCAGACCACGAAAAGCCCTCCGTGGCACCACTTGCTAGTCAGTGATCCTGAAAGTCACGTTTACTCCCTGGCATTTCTTCCTGAATAGAACCAGGCTATTTGGATATGGGATGAGGTACCATAAAGCCGACAGGCCAAATCTGATCCACACTATGGGACTTAAATGGGACGCAGACTTGGCCCCCTGACTTAGGGATGCGTTTGGCTGCCTTTGCTTTGCAGTGCTGGTGGCTACAAGGCAACGTGTACACCTACCTGGCCCTTCTTGGAACAAATGACCAACCCCTGCCACAGAGACTAGGCAGTTCTTATTACCGCAACCTGTTTGAGGTATGCCGAATATCACACCACAAGGCAACACTCATCTGTGTGAACCCCTTCCAGATACAGAGTATACATTATAAGGTGGCATGACTTCTGTAAAACTCAGACACAGTTTTAGCCAGAAAAGCCATGGCAATAGCCTCAGATAAAAGTCAGGTGCTGGCAAGAGTGACACCGGGAATACTCACAGGGTCAAGGTTTCATTGCATAGTCCCTGAAATGCATTTTCAGGAACTGAAGTCATGTAAGGGTTGTCTGTGATTTCCCTGCAAGAGAAAAGGACGAAAACAGTTGAGAGAAGACGCTGGAAATGGGTTCTTGTTGCGTGTGTGCACTTCAAAGGACCGGCCGTAAGGTATCTCAGCTTTTGCTGTTTCTTTGACCTGCTTCTAAGCGCTGGTGGCCATATGAGGTAATGAGAGCTGCTCTAGGTGGATACACATTCGGAGTCCAGTCTGCATCAAGCAAACAAGCTCCAGTGTGAGCTGAGGTCTCTGCCTTACTCCTTATCTCAGAGCAGATGGAGCTCAGAGACTTCTAAATCTGTCACACGATGTCCATAGCAACTAGAATTTTCTCTGTCAATAGAAGGACCGGGGAAAGGAAAAGGATCAATGGATTTCATGAGGATCATTAGAAAGTCTTCTATTTGCAAAATGCTGCCAGGTAGGTGTTCCCAGAGGGCTGCTTATGTTTCAACAGAGTTTAGCTGCAGCAAAGAAACATGCACATTTCTTTTTCCTGGAAAAAAATATTAAAAGTTTGCAGTATGCCAGGCAGTGGTGGCACACACCTTTAATCCCAGTCCTTGAGAGGCAGAGGCAAGCAGATCTTTGAGTTAGAGGCCAGCCTAGTTTACACTAGTTCTAGTGAGTTCTAGGACAACCAGGGCTACACAGAGAAACTCTGTTTTTAAGGAAAACAGGGAGGGAGAGAGAGAGAGAGAGAGAGAGAGAGAGAGAGAGAGAGGGAGAGAATCATTCTACACTTTGCTGACCCTGCAGTGCATACATACTTTTTCATTTGCATGATTAGGTAAGACAGCTGGTCTACACCACCGCTCTTGGAAAACAAAAACAAAAACACCAGACAATCAATCAAAAGCATGACCTGATTGCTCTGTGATGCTTGGATTACACACTCATTTGGGTTTTTCTAGTCCTTTGTTTCACTGTTCATTGAAACAAAACAAAACTTCCCTTTATATTTTGAGTGAAGCAGGTATAGAAAAGTGAAAAGCTATCAGAAAACATGAGAAATAAGGTATCACTGTTATCAGTAACTCCCTCCCTCCTTTGGCCATTCCCCTCAGAAACCGTTTGATCATTTTTCCCATTTAAAAATTAAATGTGGGTGGGAGAGTCTTGAGACAAGTCTGTGGGTAAAGGCACTTGCTGCCAAGGCTGACAACCTAGTGTGATTCTGAGAACCAACTCCTGCGTGTTGTCTTCCAACCTCCACACTCATAAGATACATACATACTAAATAAATAAGTGTAAAACATGAAATAAAACAGGCTAGGGATTATTCTGCCTAAGTGTGGTGGGGAGAACCTCCCTGAGTGTGGTTGGCACCATTTCATGGGTTGAATTTGGAGTCTCATGGGAGTAGAGGAAGCCCACAGAGTTGCAAGGAAACAAGGGCGTGTTTGCTGTCACTTAACTCTTGACAGTGGGTGAGAGTGATCAGCTGCTTGACTGCCTGCTTTGGCTTCCCGGAAATGATGGCCAGTAACTTGAAACTGTAGCCAAATAAATCATTTCCTTCTCAGTATGTGTGCCTCATGCCCATGGAGATCAGAAGAAGGTGTAGGAACTCCTGGAACTGGAGCTACAAACCATTGTGAGCTGCCACCTGGCTGCTGGGATTTGAACCCGGGTCCTCTGCAAGAGCACTTGAGCTCTTAACCTCTGAGCCATCTCTCTAGCCCCCTCGCCACTCTTGTCTTTTGACAACAGAAATGAAATTATAACAAGCGTAAACCTGAAGAGTTGGCTTTCTTCCCTCTCTCTAATTCTCTCCCCAAATTCTCTTTTGAACCCTGTCTTGGTTTCTACTGTTATCATGAAACACCATGACCAAAGACACTTGGGGAGGAAAGGATTTATTTAGCCTGTGCTGCCATGTCATAGTTCATCATCAAAGGAAGTCAGGACAGGAACTCCAGCACAGCAGGAACCTGGAGGCAGGAGCTGAGCTGAGGCCACGGTGGAATACTGCTTACTGTCCTGCTCCTCTTGGCTTGTTCAGCCTGCTTTCTTACAGAATGCAAGGCCACAGCCCAGAGATGGCCCCACCCACAGTGGGATGGGCCCTCCTCCATCAATTTCTTATTTAAAAATGCCTTACAGGCCTGCTTACTGTAAACAGAGACTGCTCATTCGTTTCCTGGCCACCCAGACCCAAATAATCACACAGAAACTCTATTAATTACAACACTTTTGGCCGATGTCTCAGGCCTATTTCTAGCTAGCTCTTACATCTTAAATTAACTCATTTCTATTAATCTATGTATTACCACAGGGTGTAGCCTACTGGTCCTGGTGTTCCAGCATCTGTCTCCTTGGAGCTACGTGGCATCTCCCTGACTCTGCCTACTCTCTCTCTATAGCTCCGTTTGGATTTTCCACCTGGCTTTATTTTGCCCTTCCATAGGCCAAAACAGCTTCTTTATTAACCAATGGCAATAAAACATATTCACAGTCTACAGAGGGGTGTCCCACATCAGCATTCAATCTGACTTTATGGAGACATTTTCTTAATGGAGATTTTCTCTCTCAGATGAGGTTAGCTTGTGTCAAGTGGACGTGAAACTAGCCAGTCCACACCTGTTCCAACCCAGCTTCCTGCCACCACCATTCTACACAAGCCGTTGTGTGAACCACAAGTGGCCCACAGCTTATCAGTGGCGTTCCTTACTTGTGCCTCACTCTACCCTTCAGCATATTACCCTGCTTACTGCTTTTTCTTGGAATCCATTGCTTTTTCTGGCTTCTACTGCCATGACTTGCACCCCAGTTCTTGCCAAATATTGCATGGTGAACTTACTTACAGTATAAAGAATACATCAGTTGAATAAATTTTGGTCAGGTCAGGGAATATTCTGAGTCCAGTGTTGAAAATGCCACTATATTAAAAAAAGAAGAAATGAAAGTTTAGATATCAATACCTAGGAAGTATACTGTAATGGCTGAAATCATGAGACTAGGAGGTAAATCCCAAGTCCTCCACCCAATACCTCATGACTGTGCTAAGTGCTAACCCTGACATGAGATGAAATTTTTCAAAGCATAATTTAATCCAGTCAATAGTAGTGATATCTATGGCCTGCTTAGAACTATATGTTGATTATTTGAGCCCAATGAGATTCCTAGAAATAGAGGAAGAAACAAGGGAGAGGAGAGGAGGAGGTGGAGAGAGAGAGATATTTCCCTATTTTAATTGGAAGACGTTGTATATGTGCTTGCGCAAGTGGTGTGGTGTCTTTGTATGTGTGTCTCTCTCTCTGTGTGTGTCTGTATGCGTCTGTGTGCGTGTACATGCATATTATGTGTATGTTGGGGGATGGGCTGTCCGAGGCCAGTGGAAGAAGAACACATGACTATCCAGCTCCAAGTCAGCTTTCCTGTTGTTAGTTCTACATTGTGTCATGGCGGTCCGTGCCATTAATCCCAGCACTCCAGAGGCAGAAAAATCTCTATAAATATGAGGCCAGCCTGGTCTACATAGTGAGTTCCAGGACAGCCAGGACGAAGCAGAGAGGCCCTGTCCCCTCCATACCCCCCAAATCTGCATCCTACTGCATTATTATTTTGCTAAGAGTTCCTTTTCTGCAGTAACAACCCTGTGGGTATACAGCAGTCTTTAACCAACACTCTCAGGAAAAAAGGAAAATCTGAAAGATGATAGCTTCTCCTTCCATCAAGGGAAAAGTATGTCAAGATTAAAAGATGTGTGAAACAGAACACGAACACAAAAGTTTGAGGCTCCGAATGCCTCCAGGATTTAATTCCTTTGACACTTTCCCCAGCTACAAGAACAGAGCAGAGGAAACAAAGTACATTTGGAATGACATGGTACAGACCAGGGGAGACTTTGACCCGACCTAGCTCTTCTAGTGGGAAACAATTCAGGTTTCCCTGAGACATGTTCAAAGGTCATTCAGCCTCGACGCCTTCTAAAGAGAAAGGCGTTGGACTGAAGAGGCAGCAGGAGCCATAGAACTCAAAAAGGAATAAAGGGGATGATCCAGAAGGAGAGAAGTGATGTTCCATGGGTGTCTATGAAATATAGCAGCAGTTCAGCCGTGATTGGGGGTTCGTGAAAAAGAGAAGGACAAAAAGGCCAGAGAGTTCAGTGGAGGCCATAAATGTTGGATTAATGAGACTGGAACCTTGACCTCTCTACTCTCCAAACCCACTAAATGACTCCTTTTCTTCTTTGATGTCTTCCTTAATTGCCTGATTGACCATCCACTAAGTTGAAAGCAAGTCCATAAAAGGATCGACTGCCTTGGCCCACAAGAAGCCTTTAAGTCGCACACGCCATTAGATGTGGAATTTCCCTTTCCCACTCCTGTGACATGGGGCTGTTTCCAGTTCTCCCAAGTGGGCCATGTGGTTTCATGCTTCTATCTTTATCCTGGTACCCTATCCGTGTAAGGCCCTTTCTAACATAATGTCTCTGTACTTCTTGAATACCTTCTATTCATCCTTAAAGACTTCCCTCTTAAAACTTTTATTTTAAAAGTCTGGATGAAAATGAACTATATGTTAATAGTGATTATTTCCAGGCACAGGGTTAAAGACTGATTTTTATTTCATTGTGCTGGTTTTTTTTCCCTAATTTTTAAAATTGCATTTGAACAGGAAAGAAGGCTCCTCCAGCTGGTGTGTAGAGGGCTTTGGGTCAAATATTCACATCCATTTAAGACATTTTCCTAGACTATCTACTGGGTGATGGGCAGTAAGGATGAAATAGAACCAAAATGCCCCCTGCTCTGATAAAGTTTATGGCCAGCTCATAAGTCATTGCCAAAGTCAAGTAGAAGTGTGTCCCTTCTGTACTGAGACTTTGCTTTTTGAAATTTCTGATTTTTTTTGTCAATAAACATAAATATAAAATTGTTTCCAAACATTGACCAGTTGGCTCTCAGGATTTTGTTTTGTCTACACTTAAAGACCACATATATATATTTTACTATTTCCTTCCTCCTGGTTCTGGGAGCAGCTCTTTGGTCCCAGATCTATGTGCTGACTTTTTGGGGTAGGCTTTAAACGTGAGCTGTTCATGTGGTACTTTGTCCAATGGGGAAGGTGAAAAGTCACAGGAAATGATCTGATTTGCCATACGCCATTAAAAATGATGCTAGACAATATCATCTTAGGGAGCTTCTTGATAGACAATATCATCACAACTCTAAAACACACACACACATACACACACAGAGATACACATACACACGCTCACACACACACCCCAATAACGAAGGAGTCAATACTTACAGGAATTTGAGCAAGGGCAGCTCTGTTAGTGCATCAGGGTCTATGTAAGTTAAGCTTCTGGTGTTGCGGATTTCTCTGCAAGAGTTAACGAGAGCGCTGTCAGCAAAATGCAACCCTTCCACTCTTTACTAAAGATAAATCAAGTTTAACAAAAGTTCATGAAAAGATGAGGATACATTTATATGGCAAGACAGAAACTCTGTGTCCTTAGTCACTGATTCCTAGCTCCTCTCCTGGACATGATTTCCCTCATGGACTTGGTCTCAGTCAGTTTGAACTTATGGACCACCTTTCTCTTAACTGTAGTCTCAAAGCTTTGTTTGTCTGTTGTTTTGTTTCTTATCTTCCCTGCTTTCTTTTTAGATTTTGGTAGAGAAGAAAACCCCTCCAGCGGTTTGGCAAACAGGTGAGCGCAGACGTCTTTATAGAGACAAGAGCCAGTGATGTTGCCATGACGGTGAGAACTAGAGGGGTAAGCTAGTCAATCATGACAAATGACGGTGTTGCAGAAAGGACCAAGAGTCTGTTGACTGCAGTTTCAGGTGAAAGGGACAGAAGGAGCCTAAATGGCTTGCTTGGGCTTATTTTGTGATGCCAATAACTTAAGACTCAGCATATGGGATATGTTGTGATATCATATACGTTTGTAACTTACATAATTAGGTTCATGCATTCACTGATCAAGGATATGTAGTTAACATAAGTGTCATAACAACTGTTAAACCTGGGCTGTCACTAGTAAAGTTGAAAATTTGGCACACATGGATCGGCTAGAAGAGGTTCATAGCACTCTCTATGCTTACAAGGAAAGTCAGTAAGAACCCACTAAGGTCTGTAGTCTTTTGTTCTGTAGATGTCCCCTGAGGCTTGGCCACCAAGAGCATTATTGTGTCCAGTCATCCGTGCTATTATTTGGAAAGCTTGGAATCTGATCATTGTAATTCTTAAGAGGCTTTGTTCTAGGAGGATTATTTGTGGAAAGCTTTCAGCGGTAGGATACATCCAGTACTTCATGAGAGCCGGTAGAAGGAGGAAGTGCTGCTATTGTCTGTATTTATGGATGAGGAAACTATGACTCAAGGGACCTTATCCAAAGTTATGTGGCCAGAGGTGACAGACTCAAGATCCTACCGCAAGCCTGGCTATTCAGCAATAGAAGGAAGGAACCACAGATCTGTGCTACAGTGGAGATGAGCCGCATCTCACAGACACGAAGAAATGAAAGAAGTAAAGCACACAAAGGTCACTTACTATATGCATCCATTTATAGGAAAGGTCCACGTAAGACAAAGTTGTAGCAATATTTTAGAGCAGGATCTGAGGCAGAGCACAGTGGTCTAGCAAGTACTTAGCAGGCATAGAGCCTCAGGTTTGATCCCTAGCACTAAGGAAGAGATGGGGGGAAGGAGAGGGGAGAAGAGGGGGTGAGGAAGGAGAGAGCGAAGAGGAAAGGAGAGGAGAAGAGACAAGATAAGAGGAGAGAGGAGAAGAGAAAAGAGGAGAGAAAAAAGAGGAGAGAAGAAGAGAGGAGGGGAGGGGAGGGGAGGGGAGGGGAGGGGAGAGGAGAGGAGAGGAGAGGAGAGGAGAGGAGGGGAGGGAGATCTGGCAGAAAAGAGAAAGTTGAGATAAACTACAAATATCCACAATGATACTTTTGTCCTTGATAGTAATGTGTATTCTAAAACTGGATTGTTATGATGATCAATCAGCAAGTTTCCAAAAATTATTGAGCCACGGACCTACAGTGTGTGAATTTTGTGATCTCGTTAAACAATTAGGCTTAGTAACAGTTTCAAATGTGGTTATCACTGGATTCTAGCTGAATAAGAGAATAAAGTTACAAGCTTTACTGCAATGGGACTCATAGTAGGTGACCAATCACATGACTGTTTCAGTCCCTGGTAATTGTCATTGTAATTCCCTTCACTCACAGACAATAAGGAACACAATGTGTGCCTGTGAGTTTCTGAGTAAGAGATGAGTTAATTGAAAGAGTGAATTGATGTATTTGAAATTAATGAAAATGCAGGGCCCAGTTGTGGTACATGGACATGGCTATAATCCTAGCATGTGGAGGCCAATGTGGGAGGAATACATGTTCAAGACAAGCCTATAGCACATAGTTCTTGACCAGCCTGGATTATATAATGAAACCCTGTTTCGGCCACCCCTTTTCTACCTCAAAGCAAGGCAAGGTGTTTTATACCTATAATCACAACATCTAGGAGAATGAGGTGGGGGGATTGTTGTAAGTTCGAGGCTAGCTTGGGCTACAGAATGAGACTTGTTCTCAAAATCCTGAACCAAACCAAATCAAACCGTAACAACCATGAAAACCTTCCCAATCTCCAACAATCTCCTTAAAAAAAAAATCAAAAATAAAACAAAACCACATTAAAGAAATCCTTGGAGATAGTTTATTACATCGAAAGAAAGAGGACTGAGTGTTAGCATCCAGACCTAGATTTCTGCAAAACATTAGAAAGATACTTTCTTGTAACTCATGTAACAAAGCAAAAATGGGCAAGCACAGTTTAAACTTCTTAAGAAGCTTTTACAACTCCCAAATACTGTAATTCTGAATATTTTTGATGTCTCAAATTGTTCATTCAGATAATATTAGATTTTTTAAATCTTTTCTTTCTTTCTATGTTTGCACCAGTAAGACAAATTTTAATGTTTTGACAAAAATTTTAAATGTCACAAAGTACTCAAACTTTTCTCACTGATGGTTGAGTTTCTTCACCCAGTTCTGGTTTGTATGTTTTTAGGGTGCCAGGCTATCATGCAGAGCATGGGTTACCTGTATTTAAATTCCACAGTGGGTTTTTTTTTTTTTTGGTGCAGTCAAAACTATTTCTATTTACCTCCACATTTACCCCCTCTGCCTCTGTTCATTTTCTCAGTACAGAGTATATGGTTGGAGAGGCTCATCTTTTATTTTTTTCTAATCATTCACTGGAGCACTTCTTCTACTTTAAGTCTAATGTTGACAAGTTCTCAAGAACTTTCTTTGTGGATTTGGAGAGATGACTCAGCCTGTAAGGTCGCTTGCTGCCCAGTCTAATGACCTGAGTTCTATCCCCAAAACCCACTTGGTGAAAGGGAAGAATTGACTTCTGCAGGTTGTCTTCCAACCCCCACTTGCATCTTGTGGCACACCCGACACTGCCAAAATAAAATAAATCAATGTAAACGACTATTTGTAACGGTGGCTGTGATCTGGCTCTACTCAGTACTTTCCCTTGTACTTACATGTGAGTCATTTTGCTCAGGTTGTAGAAAGAGTGTGGCTCCAGCCGCTGCAGAGTTGCATCTATAGATAAATAGCTAAACATTATAGAAATAAGAAAGTAGGAAGTTAGCAATGGGTTCCAAACACTCTATTTTACTTTATCACATTGGCTTACACAGGCCATTGCAATGCATGTATATACTGTGCTATTAACATATCCCCCACAGTCCACTGCTCTCTCTTCTCTTGCTCCACCCCTTCCCCATTAGTCCCCTTGGTTCCCCTGGACAGCATTGCTTCTACCGGCCTACCATCTGTATATATGTGGCTTTATGTATCTACAAAGTCTAGGACCCATAAATGAGAGGACACTTGCAATATGTGTCTTTCTGAGACTGTCTGAATTTGCTTAACAAGACGGTCTTCAGAAGCTTTAACCCCCCTCCATTCTTTATGACTGAAATCAGTTTCATTGTGTCTGCAAACCACGTTTTCTTACCCATTCCCATTGATGAGTGCCAAGGTTGGTTCCCTAATTTCAGTAGTGTGAAAAGTGCTACAGTAAACATGGATGTGCAAGTATCTGTGATATAAGCACACACACACACACACACACACACACTATATATATATATATATATATATATATATGCATGTGTTCATGTTTATACAGGCAAACAAGTGTATTTCTCTCTCTCTCTCTCTCTCTCTCTCTCTCTTTCTCTCTCTCTCTCTCTCTCTCTCTCTCTCTCTCTCTGTGTGTGTGTGTGTGTGTGTAGGCTTGAGGAAACTTTGGCTGTCATAACTCAGAATGCCACATCCACATTGTTTTTACAGACGAGGTCTCTTATTAGCGTGGGACACCTAAGTAGACTAGGCTGGCTGGCCAGTTGTCCCTAGATATGCATCCATTTCTACCTCTAGAGTACTGGTATTTATTAATATGTGCCACTACACCTCTATTTCAAACATAATTTTTAAATATCTTCTTTGTTAGAGCCTTCCCAAATCATGGACCATGAATAAAGCACATATGTAGTCTCTAACCACATTCCCTCTCCCCTCCCCCCACAAATCCCAGTATGTCTAAGACTTCCGAATCCTTTATGTTTCATTTCTCTGCAGGCCTCAAATGTCACTTTCTTCAGGAGTTTTCTACCAGTTTCCCAAAGACGCTACCATCACCATGATACACCATCACAGCAATATAAATTCACCTTTCATGGATAACCACAGTGCATCTCCCTAATTATTTGGGCAGCATTTGATTTATGTCATACCATTAAGCTGTCAGTCACCTAATGTGGAGGCTTGTGTCTGCTTTTGACCACCGAATTGTGTGTGTTCTCATAGTTCTTAACATTAAGCAGACTCCGTAAACACATGCTCAGTAAATACATGCTCAGTAAATACATAAATAAATATCAAAATCAGAAAGTGTCACAAAAGAACATTAAAGAGAATAAGAAGCATTTTTTAATAATGGGCTTAACAGCGTGGGGATAGAAATAAAATTTCCAAGGAACTAACGAGAGAACTGGCATTCTCCAGAGGGTGGTGACTACGGAGATGATGCAATATTCTGAAAATGTCTCCTAACTCCTAAGAAACTGGAAGCTTTGCTGGGCCTCACAGCCAAAGCTAACAACCCATCTTGAAGTCACTTAAGACGGCCAGCCTCCTGAGTACTCAGTCTCTTTGTTTAGCCTGCTTTGAAGAGGGCGGTGGAACAACCAACCTTACTTGCCATGGCTTTCCCATGGAATTAACTTTTACAACCTAAGCTAAGGAATAGCTGGAACCTTAAACTATGTGCTTTATAGTGGGGTGTGGTGGCACACATCTTTAATGCCAGCACTCGGAGGCAGAGGCAGGTGGATTTCTATGAGTTCGAGGCCAGCCTGGTCTACGAAGGGAGTTCCAGGATAGCACACCTATCACACAGAGAAATCCCATCATGAAAAACAAACAAACAAAAAAACCAAACACACAACAACAGAAATATTATGTGCCTTTCCTTGCCTTTGTCCTATAACAATGCATGTGTATTATTTGTTGAAAGTAGCAAATACAGAAGTTGAAAGCAATCTAAAATCTACCATAAAGGTTGAAGGCATCCATTCATGGATATTATTTGATAAACAATGTTTGTTTAGTTGGGTCAGCTGGGATCAGCTTGGGCCAGTGAGAATACCTTGTAAAACTCAGTTAAAGATTTTTATTGTCCATTCCTCCCCATGTGATGCCTTCTGTGCTGTTCAATAAAGATAGAGTGAAACCTTTTGTGAGAGAAAGACACACAACAGACACAGACACAGACACACACACACACACATACACACACACACCAGTCAGTGCAGGTAGGACGAGATTAAGACTAAAACAACAGACACACAGAGGATGGAAGACACTGAGCACATGAAGTCAAGAACACAAATCTGGACTCCTTTTGGTTAAATGGCTTCAAAGTGAGGAAACCATTTCTTTCATTTCTTTCCTGAATGCAACACAATGCATTACTGGTAATTAGAGATCATCACACATTCTCTCTTAAGACCTATATTTCTGATTTTGAATGAAACTGAAAAGTTCCAGGATTTGTCGTCAAATTGTTCAGCAAAATATCACGCAAATAAACGTTTTAGGTACTAAGAGAGGGGAAAAGACAGATGCTCCATTGCATGAGCAGTTGGGAATTTGTATGTAAGCTGTGCTGTTTCAGATGGTTTTGTCTAAGTCCCTCTTGCAACAAGAATAATCCACACAGATTCAATGCCCATCCCAGGATCATTGATTCAGGATCATGCAGACTGGGCCAAGCATTTATATTTTTTCAAAAGCTTTCTTGTTAATTTTTTTTGAATGACATTCTTCATAAGAGGGACATTAATTGTTAGGATCTGGGTATCTTTTTTTTTTCTTTTTAACAGGGTTGCTTGCTACTATTCTGGTAGCCCTACGCTGATTAGAATTATTTATTCTATGAACAAACAGCCTTTGACTTATCAGGTTTCCTAGCCCTTTGTCCTTTGTGACTAAGCAACAGTATGTAAATTGTTTTGATCCAAACATTATCTCAGAACACTTTTTACAGGATCGGTTTACTGTTTAGGGACCATAGAGAATTTTTCATGGGTGAGAGTGGAGCAAGAGTCATTCTGAAAGCTGGCCACTTACTTCCTTGTGCTTGCTTCACAGCCTTTACCCCACATTTCCTACTGAATTTTCAGAGAAGTTCCTTCTACCCACCACACTGAGCTGAAGTTCTGGTTTCTCTAACCTCAGAGCTTGCTATAGCTCAAATGTAGGAATTATTTATTCACCAGGACTGGAGCAATGACTTTATTTCGTCCCATTTTAAAAATAAGACACATCTCTTTATTGCTTGTAAATGTTAATCAATTACTATGATGACTATACAACCTCTTATAAAATTTAGGGTACTTTTCTCCTGTTGAAGCATTTGCCAGAGTCACTGGTGGAGATTTTTTAATTTACTGGGCGAACCTAGGGTCATCTTGGTGATCTCCTCTTGCTTCCTCTGAGATGTCTTACTGTTATTACTGTATGCCTACGCATCCCGCAGATATCTGTTGAACATTTACTTGATGCCAGGTATCTTTCTTGATATTGATAAAACAGATTACTTCCTTAGCTTCAAGAAACTCATAGAATTGGGAGATGCAGACTATCAGATCGGATTAGTCCAGCAAGTATTAAGTGCTCTGAACGGTACAGGAGATCTTAGGCTGACGAACCCAGTGCGGGCTCCCTGGGGAATGCCTCAAGGAGACTTTCAAATCTCCATGAGTATTGTGTGTTTATCATTCACCCTCCTCCTCCTGCCTATTCTAGGTTATATAATATTTCGAATTCTGATTGTTCACCACCAGTCTTAGCAGACAAACTCTATTGAAAGCGTTGAAGCAGGAGATAGGAATTCCTTGGATCTCCCCTCCCCACCAATAACTTTCTTGTGACAGTGGAGAAAGGGACTGTTTTCTTACATCCCTAATTCTGCTTGGCTGCGATCCTTTCCCACCTCCTCAAGGACCACAAGCTCTTAAGGTTGTTCTTGCTTTGTCCTTTAGCATCTCCCATTCTACCGTCTTCATCGTGTGACTGAGACTGTTTTTAGAGACAGGATTTCCTGTGTAGTGCTGGTTATCCAGGAACTTGCTTTGTAGACCAGGCTGGCCTCTAACTCGCAGAGATCCACCTGCCTCTGCTCCCCCGAGTACAGGGATTAAAGGTGTGTGCCACCATCACTCAGTTTGAGACTGTTTTAATGACATCTAAGAACCTCAGTTTCTATTTACATCACTCCCCTGGGCATGCACGTGCCCACAGCGTCCAATATTCTTCATTATACCTTGCATTTCCCCGTTCTTGTACGCATTCTTTCTGTCTGAATAAGTATATAATTTACTTTACTATGTTTGGCTCATTATCTGTCTCCTCCCAGCTGAATATAATTTTAGAACAATAAGTGCTCATAGCCAAAGTGAAACAAATGCTTGCTGACTGAATAAAAAATGTCTCTATCATGTGTCTGCAGGAGAGGATGTCTTTCACATCCTTTACCTCCACACAAAATTGCAGAGGAGGCCAGTCACATTCTCCTCTGCAATTTTGGCGAACAACCAAATGTCAGAGTTCATTCTGGCTGAGAATCATTGAAACGATGCAACAGATGTTCAACACGTGGCCAGAGGTGGAATAAGTTGAGTTATGAACTGTACCGGTCACTCCTGGTGTTACTGGGTGTGTTTGAGCTCACCTGAACTGCCACCAAAAGAGACAAGTATCTCACTCATTTCATGTACAGACTATGGCAATGTGAAATTCCGAAAGTGTCTCTTACATTCTGAGACACTGGAATTGTTGCTGGACATCACAGCCAAAGCTGATAATACAACTTGAGGTCACTTGAGATGTAAGACCGCTAGGGTACTGTGCCTTCAGCCTGTTTCCTCTGCTTTTAAGAGAACAATGGAACAATCAACCTTACCTCACCTTGGATTTTTCATGTAGTCAACTTTTGCAACCCAAGCTAACCCATAGTAGTAAACTCAAATTACGTACTCCTCTATGCCACAATCCAGAAGAACACATGTGTGTTATTTGCTTAAAACAGCAAATACTAAAGTTGAAAGCAACTTTCTAAAACCTTCCTTAAAACTTTAAAGCATCCATTTATAGATATTGGTTGATAAACAATGGTTTTGTAGAACTGTTTGCTGTCTGGGTCAGCTGGGATCAGTCGGAGTTTGTGATTTGATCCTTGTAAAATGCTGTTCAAGATTTCTGAGAAGTATTCCATCCCTTTCCCGTGGCTGATTTCTATGCTGTCCGGAAAATACAGGGCAAAGTGCTTTGCGGGAGGAGAGAGAGACACGGAGACCCAAACAAATACACATAGCCACACAGCAGAACACATGGATGCACACAGATGGAAGACAAAGACACGGGGACAGATCAAGACAACCTTCAACCAGGCACAGATTCAGACCCAAGCAACAGGGAGACAGGGGATGGTAGACATGCGGAGCGTGAAGTACAAGTTTCAAATCTGAACTTACCCTGGATTACATGATTTTAAGGAGGAAAGTACTTTTACTTCTTTCCTTAATGAAACACCAATTATTGGTGACTCAGCGTTGGTCACAAATCTGCACACAGATTTGTGATCATCAGTCTGACATGCAAGTTCCCTTTCTCATCTGTCCACATACCACATTTCTGTTTCTCAGGCTTAGAATTGTTTTAAATTCATGTTTAAGCGAGAGAAATCTCAAATGATTGGCGGCATTTGGGAGAAAATGTAAATGTTTGCATTGTATTAGTGGTGGAGGTGAATCAATAAAATTCTAGGATGAATGGGTAAAAGAGAGACACATAAATGTCTGGATATTCTCAACTAAGGTTTTTGTCACAACCTAAGATATATCAAAATACACAAAAACGGTGAATATGACATGACCAAAGAATTTAAATTTGCATTAGATTTAAAAGGTCCTAAAGGAAGCAAAACATGGAGGTGTAACTAAGCAGGTAAGTACTATATAAATAAATTTCAAATATGCTAAAAATGTGAATGTCATTGATTTATGCAAGTGTAATAGAAATTGCTTTTTCGACAGAGCACATTTAGAAAGCATGTCACAACAGCAAAGTTCTCTGTATATTAAGATAAGTACTTACATCCTGGAAATATTGGGCAGATTTGAAAACGCGAGACTGGGGATGGTCTTCAGGTGAGTCTCGATGAGCTTCCTAAGGAAACGACAGTCATGTGATTGGAGTCTTCATCATTAGTCCTTTCTAATTACTCACTTAATTACAAGAATATCTTATCAGAAGTGTTAAACACAAACAAAATCGACAAAGCCATCATGATTTCTCCTCCGGGAAAATAAGAACTGAGATTGTGATTCAGATGCGGAACATGAGTCCTCAAAATTCATCTGTGAACTGGATGTAGAGCAATATGCTTTCTCCACTATCACACTGCATTTGCTCACTGAAAAGGAACGTAGGGTGTCCCTATAGTATATTCATGAGAATGTCAGGTTTACTGTACTATGATGCTAACTGATAATCAGCCAACACTTTCTCAGAACCGTAAATCTTCTTTGTTGAACCTGCAAATTGAAGGTATGGTGGTGTGGGATTCCCCTCTGTATGCTGTGAATATCACTGGTTAATGAATAAATCTGCTTTTGCCTATGGAAGGGCAGATTAGAGCTAGCCAGGAAAACTAAACTGAATGCTGGGAGAAAGAGGGCAGAGTCAGAGAGATGCCGTGGAGCCACCGTAGAAGACAGATGCCTGAAAGAACCTTACTGGTAGACCACAGCCACGTGGCGATACACAGATTAATGAAAATGGGTTAATTTAAGATGTAAGAACTAGCTAGAAATACACTTAAACTATCTGTCAAATAATCTTGTAATTAATATAGTTTATGTGTGATTATTTGGGGTCTGGGCATCTTGGAAATGAATGAGCAGCCTCTGCCAACACTATGGTATCCCCCAACTTTCCTTTCTGGGGAACCTCATAAATAAGAAAACATCTTCAAATATCTCAGTATGAGTCTTCATCCAGGTATTCATCTTTTGGCTTTCTCTCTTCACATAGTGATTACTTGAATAGAGTCCCATATGGAAAAGATGTGCCCAATGTCCCAACTCACTTTGCAAAAAAAAAAAAAAAAAAAAAAAAGCAATGATGTGTCCCATCTGCCCAAGTCTAGTTTTGTCCTTGAATTGGAAATCACACATCAGTCCTTACTAACTTACATATAGATAATAGATAACATAGTACATCTTCTTTTCCAGAGTACAGACATCATATTTCCCTAGGATCTTTATTTCTTCTCCCTCCCCTTCTTTTCTCCCTTTCTTCTACCTATGCTCACTTTGCACTACTTCCTTTGACAGTACTAGAAAAATATCTGTATCATGCTTGACCAAAGCACCAGCAGGCCAACTTAGTTTGTAAAAGGACTTAGGAACTTTAGTGACATGTGAGGGGGGTAGGTGAATGAACGAGATAGAGTTTTTACTCCTCAACTTCTGAGTATTTGTCTATGAGATCCAATGTTGCTTTAATCTTAAGAAATTCAAGCAGTGGTAGTGGAATATGCCTTTAATCTGAGCACTTGCGAGGCAGAGGCAGATGAATCTCTGTGTTGTAGGCCAGCATGGCCTACAGAATGAGTTCCAGGATGGCCCAGGTGACACAGAAAAACTCGGTCTCAATCCCCCCAAAACAAAAACCGAAACAAAAAGAGAGAGAGAGAGTGTGTGTGTGTGGGGGGGGGGGAGAATAAAGTCAGTGTTTGAGTGGCATCTTTTTTTTGTTGTTGTTATTTTTTAGGGAGGGAGGAAGGAAGACAGAGAAAGAGAAAGAAAGGAAGAAGGAAGGAAGGACAGAAGAAAAGAAGAAGGAGGAGGAGGAAGAGGAGGGAAGGGAAGGGAAGGGAAGGAAGGAAGGAAGGAAGAAAGAAAGAAAAAGCTTCATATGTGTTCTTGCTTATTTGGCTGGGGCTGGGAGAGAATTTCTAAGGATCCCAGGATCCCGAATCTGGTAGAGATGCCAATGTGGAACAGCAAGAACCAAGAGTGAAGAGCGGGCCATTCAGACACACAGTTAACACAGCCACGCACGCCGCTCTACGCTTGTGCCACCCAGAGCAGCAGCCTGAGGAAGAGAAGCTGTGGGGGGAAGCTGTGCTTGACTGAACTGAACGACGACTCCTAGAATCTCCACCTTCTCAGTGGTGCAGTCCGATCGGACCATTTTACAGACAAAGTAGTTGAGGTTTAGGAGGAGTGTGTGTTCTCACTGCTAGAGAGGGAGAGCTGCAGTGGTGGAGGGAGGGGGACAGAGGCAGGTGATTTGAGTGGTATCTTAATCTAGCTGTGTGGAGTTTTTATTTGTGTGTTCATTATAATAATGCATTTTTTTTTCACCAAAGAAAAAGGAAAAAAAAAAACTCGGATCCATAAATTGCTTTCACTTGAAGTTACATCCCCTTAACTGCGGTGATTAAAGGCTTATTGGTGCAGATCCAGGATTCTGGAGTTAAAAATACATGAGAACAACTCGTTCTATTAAACTCTCTGTGTAAAAAGTGGGCCATGCAGAAGGCAAACAAGGGATAATATGCACACCTGTTGGGAATTATGAAAGGAGGTTGAGTTGCTTGAGTCCAAAGGTGGTCTTATAGATAGAGCTGCCTGGCAGCAAGCCTTTTGAGGGCATACTCTCATAAGAGTTCACATTGCTTGCAGGTAATGTGGACTAAACTGCAACTTTCACTGACTAAAAATTAGGGCATTTAGCCTTCTCCAAAGGAGAGAAATAGATCAGGCTTGCTTCTGCACATTTATAATTCTGGTATCCAGGAAGATGGGGCAGGACAATTGTGTGTCCCAGTCCACCTGGGGGTACATATTGAGTTCAAAATAATAATAATAATGATAGTAATAATAATAAAAAAGATTAAAAATAAATGATGTATGTCAAATTAAATTGGAAGTTAGAATAAAGTTGAAAGGGTTTCTAGAAGTTTGATGATAAAAGAAATAGCATATGAATAAAATTTAATATTTTTCAATTAAAACTCAAATTGTATTTATCTTTTTCCTGGAGAGAGAGAGAAAGAGAGAGAGAGGGAGAGAGAGAGAGAGAGAGAGAGAGAGAGAGAGAGAGAATATTATGTGTATGTGATTGTGAATTTATGTGCACCATGTGCACGCAGGAGCCTGTGGAGGCCAGAATGGGGTAATGGATCTCCTGAAACTAGACTTACAGATGGTTGTGAGCTACCATGTAGGTGTTGGGAGCTGATCCTGGATCCTTTGCAAGAGCAGTCAATGCTCTTATTATTAACCACTGATCCATCTCTCCAGGCCCATAATACCTGTTTCTTATAGTATTTCTTTTCTCAGACACAAAACCTTATATATACTTAAAGCTGAACAAGTTATTCTTTCTTTGTGTGTCTCTCTGCTGCCTCTGTTTCTGTCTGTTTATCTTTCATGATTACTCACCATGTATAGACAAACCAATACAAATTATGTACTTAAGAGCAGTTGTCTTGGTAACAATAAAATATGCTCAATAAATCTTCTAGAGTGAAGATGATGCCAGCCATCTTAGCATAAAATGAAAATAAATAGCTTATTTGTTGGGTGAATTTAATGCAGTGATAATCATAAAAGAGACTGATTTCAATAACATTTACTGAAGTTTCAGAGTAAAAAATGATCACATAAATTCAAATTCAATAACAATCTAATTTACAAGTTTTTTCCGTGCATAATCACAACAATATATAGATAAAATACAAAACATCTCTGCAACTTTTAATTCTTTTACTTTTGGTCTAAATAGTCTTGGTTACCGCTCTACAATTCACCTCACATTCGCATACACTTTGCTTTCATTTCTAATTTGAGAAATGTGGTTAGTTTGATGAACTTCAATAAACACTTTGAAAGGATGGCTTCCCAATGCTTATCCAGACATTTGTATTTCTTCAGGTAAAGATAAAAAGATAGATGAAAATGCAGCATCAAATTAATGAAATAATGAAGACAAAATGTCTACAAACAAATCTCATCTCCTGGTTTTTCTCTTCATAAGAAAGGCCCAGAGACGAAGCTATGTCCTGTTCTAAGTGGCTGTCCTGTCCTAAGTTCCATAATGTGGGACAGCGGCTTTGGGCTGTGCTTGCCCCGTCTCCACTTTGAGTGCAAATGCGGGGTGACTGTTCATCCTGATTGTGCAAACAGAGGGTCACCACCTGTACAGAATGCACCACAAGGCACAAGGTGCTAACTTATTCACACAAGTAAAAAAACTACCCTCTGTGTACACAAGGCAGTATGTTGAGAACATATGAACGCTATCAGAAAAGCCAGGTCCATGCCTTTAACTAACACACAAGACACAATCTCTCACTCATAAACTATAAAAGAGATGCCCTAACCCTGAGTCATGGGAGACACGGACTTGTCACCTGGTCACTTGGGAGCCTTTTCCAAGACCGTTGCCACAGTGATGGATAGTTGCCTCAATCCCTGGCTCCAGCTTGAGAACAGTTTGTCCTGTCCTCAAAGACCAGCCCACTTCAAACGGCCCCTCCAAAGGTCTTTTGGATCAGGAACTGCATTGGATAACACTGTACCTTCAGTAGCTCTTGTCTGCTCCGCAGTTCACAGAACTTCTGTGGATCACAAAAACGACTCTTTTGTAGCCATCCTGTGCATCTTTGTGGGAAATGGGATGTGTGAGCCGAGAGTCAATATTAGTAATTTAGGTTAGAATGGAAGAATATTGGCCTCCAGTGGTCACATTAGCGAGTGACATCGGGTCTGATTGCGGAATTATGCCTGCTCTTGTACCTCAGTTCACGGCTGGAGCTCAGTGGCTAGACGGTCTCTCCGTAGCCTACATTCCCCACAGCTAACTTTCTACTCAAAGAATCTCCAGACACTGTGGCTACAGTTTTAGAGGGAGGATTAAACAAGACAAAATTTAAAAAATCAAACGGCAACGACGAAACCCCAAGAACGAGTAGTGAGTAACCAAAACATTTTTATCTTAATTTTCAGAATTTATTTTGACTGCTTGTGGGAAAAGAAGTACATATGTACTTTATACCAAGAGTGTTAACAAAACATCTGGATGTTTTTGTATTCTATAAAGAATCAACAGCAAGCCATTTGTTTTTGGTTGGCAGTACACAGGTATTGAAGAAT